CAATAATTGTGGAAAAATGTTACAGTGATTCTTTGTAAATTATCCTGTGACATTTTATAAAGGGAGGGAGAGAAGATTGGCTGGAAACAAACTTCTAGAAGAGTTATTCCTCCTGTTCACTCTGATTTTAACCTAAATTATTGGCAATCAGGCATAGTATCTTTTTTTATTGTTTGATTTTCTGATTTTCAAAGAGAGTCTAGATTTCATGTAAAAGGAATAAGGTAAAAGAATTCAATACATTTATCTAGTAGCTTGCAGTTTATGCTTTTTTACAAGCCTTATGCTCTTTTAAGGATATCTGGTGGCCTTTTTAATAGGGAGTTGTACTCTCAACTCAGATGCAGGTGGTTCAAATCCACTGATTGCTCCACAGTAAAAATATGGGCATTCTCCTCCACCCATGTGATTCGCAGCATCTGAAAATCTGCTGGAGGGTAAGATATGACTCTGTTCCAAATGGACAACACATAACAACAATAGCAATAACACACAGTAATGCATCTAGATTCTTCTATCCCTGAAATCTGAGTAAAGCCTGGGGAAACATAGGACCTTTGTTGTTGATGTGCCATCCAGTCACCAGCAACTCATAATACAACAGCTCTGAAGCCTGCTGTCCTGAGCCAGTATCACTGACTCTGACACACCTATCTTCATTGCCCCAGTTACTGTAATCAATCCATCTCCTCCAGGGTCTTCCTTTCTTGTACTGTCCCTTCACCTTTCTTTAGCATGATGTCCTTCTCCAAGGATCTGTCCCTTCTGGACACATGCCCAAAAATGTGTGAGATAGAGCTTCAAAATCCTAGTATCCAAGGAGAAATTTGGTTTTACCCTCTCCAATATAGACCTATTTGTTTCCTTGGTGGTCCAAAACTCAAAGGCATCAGTTCTTCTTCTGTCCTCCTTAGTAATTGTCTAGATCTCTGATGCATGGCAAGTTTGCAAAGACTATGGCCTGGATCAGGTGTCCCTTAGTCTCTAGACTGAAAATACTTGTTTCTCAATACTCTAGAGAGGTCCCTGACAGCAGATTTTTCCCAATCCGTCTTTTTATTTCCTGGTGTCTGGTGCCAAGAGTATTGATTGTGGAGCTGGGAAAGCTGTAATTCTTAACAACCTCAATCTCTTCTCCATCTGTCATGGTGCTGCCAGTTGCCCCAGTGGTGAGAATCTTTGTCTTCTTGATGTTGAGCTTCAATCCATATTTAAGACTACAGTCTTTCACTTTCTGCAAAGGAAATTTAGAAAGGAAAAAAAAAACTTGGCTGTCAGAGAGTCCTTAACAGACTTTTCTCAGTGAGTCTAGGGGGATGTGAAAACCAAAGAGACTTGGACTTGCTTCTTTTATCTCCTTGCAGAAGGCAAACATCCAAAAGAAATGACTTGATGGCAGCAGGAGGCAGAAACAAAAGGGGCTTTGAGATTGGGCTAAGCTGCTGCGGTGGCCTACTCCTAGAGCATTCTGTTTGTTGTTAACTCATCTATCGTGGTTCTGCTCCACCAGAAGCTTTGCAGGAGAAGGTTGGGTAATCCGTCTTCTCCCATGCAATTTCCAGTCCATGAAAAACCTGCTGAGAACCAGTTATAAGTTGGTTCTGACTTGACCACAATGAGGGTTTTTTATACTCTTTTAATCTGTAAGGTTTGCCTGCTCATCTTCGGGAGCCTTTCTTATCTTTATATCCAACAAATGCACTTTGACTAGCAGCTGTAACTTATTGCTTCTTAGTCTTTTGCTATGTGACTTTGTATTAATTGTTGGTTAGGTTTTTGGTGTACTGGAGCAGTTGCTGGGAATCAAATCTGATAGAGGACTCCCTTCTCTCTTGATTTCTTCTAGACCAGCAGAGTGTCCTCTGAGTTGGGTGTCTGATTGTGCCCTCTATCCTCTGTGCTCCTCCACCCCATCTCACATAACTGGTGTTGCATAAACTTAGTAGAAATGTAAATGAAGCAAACTTCCTTGACAATACAAAATAATTCTTATGAAGTCCTTCTCCATGAAGAAAACATAAAGAAAAGTCCCTTGTTCAGACCTAGATGTTTTCTGTAGTCCCTCACTCATTGCTATTGGTTTGTTTCACTCTTAGCTGATCCTCTATCAGTTCTCCAAGGAGACTGACTGTCCATCGTTCTTCCCTTGAGCGGTGGTTGTTTTTGGTACGTGCTGTTAAGTTGAATATGACTCATAGTGACCCTGTGAACCACAGATCTAAACCCTGTCCTACGTGAGCCATCCTAAACATCTCTGGCTCAGTTGAGCCTATTACGGCAGTCACTATTTCAGTACATCTGGTCTTCCTCTCTTTCAATGTCCCTCCACCTTCCCAAGCTTGATATCCCACGCATGGTGTCCAAGAAATAGTCCCTCCTACCAGCCAGATTTATGAGATGAAGCTTTGTTATCTTTGCCTCCAAGAAGTAGTGAGACAAAATCCAAAGATCATTTTGTTTCCTTCAGGCCTGATGGTGTTGGGGAAATGATGGTCTCTGGCGGATAACAAAACAAATCAAGATTTTCTGTGTCTAAGTTCTAACTTTCTCCTTTCCCAGAACAGGTTACTTAGCCTCACTGAGTCATTTAAGACAAATAAATTACTCTTTGCCTTGGAGAATATTTAGGAGATAAATTATTTTATACAATATGTATTTAGTCTCAACAATAGTGATAAAAGTTATCGTGTTTTCAGTATTTACTAGCTGTCTGATTCAGGACTAGGGAAAGTACCGAACTTTTCATTAATTGTTTAAGCAACTGTGCAAGGTCATTAGTATTATTCTATTATACAGATAATTGAACAGAGATTCTATGATGTAAAGGAAGATAATGTCACAGAGAGATTTGACATTGTGTTTATGTGACTCAAGCCCAGATTTTTTAGCCTTTTGATAAATGTTATTTTTCTCTGTCTCAAATAAATTGGAGAACATATTTTTTCAAAATTAATCTGTTTATTTTATGAAATTGTTGCTCTCTTACTCAAAATAAGTCCCAATAGGCTCAACAGTTCCATTATTATTGCTTATTTATTTAGAATCCCTTTGCAGGTTCAATATTATTGTTGTTGTAGATGTTATTGATTCAGCTATGACTCATATGATCCTCAGGATCTCTGATCCGTTCAACTCCATTATTGCAGTCATTGTGTCAATCCATCTTGTTGCGGGTCTTCTATTGCTTTGACTTTCTACCTTTTCCAGAATGATGGTATTTCTAAGGACTGGCCCATCCTGAGAAGATTCCCAAAGTATGTGAAACAGTATGTTACCACCCTTGCATTTGAGGATCATCCTTGTTGCACTTCCTCCAAGATGGTTTTGATTGTTTGGTAGTCCATGGGATAATTCATAGTCTTCTTTAAGACCACAATTGCAAGGCATCAATTCTTTTTTCGTTCTCCTTATTCATAGTCCTACTTTCAGATTCATAAAAAATAACCAAGATGCCATAGCTTGTATCAGATGCACTTTTGTCTTTTAACTGACATCCTTTACTTTTTGCACTTTAAAGACCCTTTCTTCCTTCGTTCCTTCCTTCCTTCCTTCGTTCCTTCCTTCCTTCCTTCGTTCCTTCCTTCGTTCCTTCGTTCCTTCCTTCCTTCCTTCGTTCCTTCCTTCCTTCCTTCCATCCTCCCCCTCCCTCCCTGCCTCTCTCTTCTTTTCTATCTTTTTGCCAGATAACCTCCTTCTCTAAGTGGACCTTTTTGAGTGACACCACTCCCTTCACAAATTGATCTAAGACTTGGTGCAAGTCCCATGATGAACACCACCACAAGCAGTTCTTTCTTTCAAGTAATGGAAGAGGTCGATATACATATGCCTGCACATGGGACCTCTGTTGATTCACAATGGCTTAGTATTGATTCTTCTCTGGGAGGAGGTATTGTACCTCCATTCTGTGCATGTGGACCCCTCACATATCTTTCAATAGATTTTTTTCTGCTCTACTACTATAGGATATATACTGTAATGCTGATGGCAAGGGGCTAGGGGAGCTTAAGAACTATTAGAGGCACTGATATGACTCAGCCTTTCTATAACCCAAACTAAGAAAGAAAAAGAAAATAATCTTCTGGGCATGTAAAAGCACCACATGTCATGAATGGAGTGAGAGACTCTGCTGGCTATGTGTCTCCATGTGATGTCAGTGGGAACTTGAATATTAAGGGTGGAGATGCCTAATTTGGATAGTATGACTTTACAGCTATTAGCAAAATCTGGAAAAGTTTGTAACCATGGTTGAGTCAGAAGGATGTAACTTTGGACTTCATTTGACAGTTGTCTTTAGTTGGATGAGATTGGTTTCATTTATGTTTGGCAAGTTGACTATTTAGAAAGCCTTAATTCTTTGGAAATTGTCCGACTTTTCCAAGTTTGGGTTTGCCCCTTGACTTTGCCTTTGTTTTCCATTTCCAGATTTACAATCGTTTGGATACAAATTGCTGTGGATTCAGACCACGCAAAGAAGATGCCTGTGTACAGAATGGACTGAGGCCAAAATGTGACAACCAGGATTCTGTGGCTCTGGCACACATCATCCAGCGCAAGCATGACCAGAGGCACTTGGTTTTTGTAGACAATAAAGGTTTCTTTGACAGAAGTGAAGATAACCTAAATTTCAAATTGTTAGAAGGCATCAAAGAGTAAGTTCTGTGATGTGGTAGCATCTGGAGAAATCACACTTATATTTTTCAATTTGGCAAGGTTTTCAGATATATCCTGTAAGACTAATTGATCTAACCCTTTGAAAGGAATTACAAATGTGGAATACGGGGGTGGAGCCAGGGAAGGGAAACAAACCCAAGTGGAACACAGCTAAAGTACAGTGTTTCTCTCAACATCCCAGTCTGATTTTACATATAACACTATAACACCCATCATGTGACGTGACTTTCATTGTCAAGATCCTTATGTGTTAGGCTGAAAAGTACAGGAATCTCTACAATGGAGACTGGCAGGTCAGGAAGTTAGCAAGTGGGGCTGACCGTCTGGAGGTTTTCACATGCAGTAAATCATGTAGAGGAGATTGGCCATCTCTCCCCCACAGAGCAGCTGGTGGATTTGACCACATGCCTTTGCAGCCTTGGTATCATAATTCCTTGCGGCTAAGTCACCTGGGCTCCTTCTTGAATATTGACTGGCAGATTAGGCAGTAAGCAAGTGGTGGAGGCTTTAATCAAGATATGGACTGCCTGTAGAGATGACTGTCAGAAATACAGTTATCAGTGTAATGGGAAGCCAAAGACAGAACAAACTCATGGGAATTATATGAAAAGAAAAGGGAAATTAGTCCATCTCGCTAGTAGGGTCTGGTATCAAAAACTTGCAGGCTGCTCTTTAGCGTAAGTCAGAGACCTTTGAGCATTTGGAAATCCTCCCAGGAACTTTAAAAGGAGAGCTCACTGATGTTACTGAAAAACAAAACAAACAAATAAAAAAACCCTGAAAATCAAAACCAAAACAAAAAAATCACCAAAAACTTTAAACACAAACTCATTGTCTGTAAGAATAAACTGACTCATAGCTGACCTTCCATTTAATTTCTGAGGCTGTAAATCTCATAGAAGGAGTTTACTTCTCTTACTTCCATCTAACTGCTGGTATATTTGAACCACTAAGAGTTTTGGCCTTTGGATTAGCAGTGCAGGTCCCTAGAGACAATATGGAAGATTCCTTTATAGAGACAATGTGGCAGATTCCTTTACAGAAGTGGGGCCGAGTTGACTCAGAAACCAAAAATGCAGGGAAGATCTTGAAGGTTTTGGACCATCTGATGGTGCCCAGAAAAATAAAAGAACAGAGCAGAGACTGTGGTGCAGTGTCAAACTAAGAAGAAACTCAGGTCTTTAGAAGTTAAAATACAATGGTTACTTAGAACACATTTGAGCTCACTTCTGCCTGGAAGCAAAAGAAACCAAGTACTAGATGCTAGTGGAAAAAACCCAGCAGTGGTGTCTGAGCTATTGGTCGCTAGCTGTGAGAATTGTGACAAGATTACCAGATCCACCACAAGGTCAGGTTGAGTTCCCTTCGGTATGTCATGATTTAGACGGAAATCAGATTGCCTAAGGGATTGAAATAGGTTACAGATTCAAGAATAGATGAATGACTTGCTAAAATAGCTAACCAGCTGTGTCAGGCTACAGCACTTGCTAGAAAGCACATGAATAAGCCTGTAATTGAAGTTTAGCCATAATACTTCCAATTCAAAATCAAACCAAATATTCTTTCTAGAATACCCTGCAGTACTCACATTATACTGATATTGCTCTTTGTTCATAATATTCTGACAGAATATTTAAATGATCTTTCCTTAAGACTCAGAAATCCACTCTTAAAATTAATTTAGTCTATGACATGGATACTATTGATTTTATGTACTTTCGTGATTTGTAGTAATACTGCCCCTGGAGTTTTATGAGCCTAGATTTAATAAGATTTTGTCTCATTGATACTTGCCTCTCAACTCTCTTTGCTGATTAAGACAGAGTATGAGACAGGCTTTCTCTTCTTTTAGGAGAGGGAGCTCTGGTGTCTTGGTAGCAAGGAGTTGTGCTGCCAACACAAAGGCACATGGCTTGAGTCCAACAGACGCTCCACAGGAGAAAGAATCTCCTCTTGTCCGATTACTGCCTCTGAAAACCTGCCGAGTTGGAGTTTTTTTTTTGTTTTTGGTGTTTGTTTGGTTTTTTTTTTTTTTAGGGATAATTGCAGGTTTTATTTAATTATTTTTTTAAATCTTGATGAACATTTACAGAGATTTTGGATTTCCATTCATTCATTCATTGTCACTTTTCTCCCTGCCCCCCATCCCCACCCCTGGTCGGTCCTCTCCTTGAAAAGTAAAAGAAAAAATTTCTTCATTGGTATACAATCCCCCACACCACCCCCGGGTACACTCCACTATGCAACCTTCATTCTGGACTCTTGTCATAACCATAATACCCAATCATATATCGCTTTTAAACTGTTCTCTCTCTCATTTGTTTCAATGTACAGAGTTGGTTTTTGACTTGAGGGTACATAACAACAACAGATTGAGAAAAGGAACTTCTGGTGACCTGTGGTAAGGAATTCCACTGCAAATCCAAAGACAGGCTGTTTAAATCCACTGGCTGCCCTGTGAGAGGAAATTGGGCAATCTCTTCTTATGAAAACATGATGGAGGATCAGCTACGGGTCATTTCCATCTCAGTGCATACAACAACAACAAACTGATGTGATTTAATACTGGGGAAAAAAAATCACATTTCAAAATCATTACTTAATGAGTTGATATTAGAGGAATTTTTAATCCCTGAATCTCGTCTCATTTTATTGTTGTTAGATGTCATATAATCAGCTTTGATTCATAGCAACATTTTGCACAATAGAACATAACCCTACTCAATTCTGTGCTATCTCAGTTGTGTTTAAGAAATCTACCCTATAATTTTCATATTAAATATGTGCAGTGTTTTTTTCTATAATTTCAATGATCTAACTTTATGTTAACTTTATGAACTTAATGTTCATAAAAGTTTTAAGTTAAATATCCTCTATGTGACTCACATATTTAAAAGCAAAACAAAGATTTTGCTAATTCCAGATCAATGCATTATATTTCTTATACCACCAATAAAATATAAAGACAGATAATTTTCTCCACTTAATTTTATTTCTCATTTGTAAAAACATTTAATCACTAAAAGTTTCCTTAATTATAATATTTAGATTTTATATATTCTGCGACAGTTGTTGAAAAGCCATAGTGTTATCATCTACCACAGAGTTGGAACTGACTTGTTACTGACCTACCAACATGTTTTCAGAGATTGTAAATTACATGGGAAATTGTTGATCTTGTCCATCTGGATTCAATCAGCAAACCTTTGGGCTGACAGCACAACTCCTTACCACTAAACCATCAGAGCTCCCTTGAAGAATCATGATGTTGCTGTCTACTGTAGAGTCTGAACTAATCCATTGCTGACCCTCCAATGGGTTTTCAGAGGTCATAAATAGCATGGGAGGAGACTGTTCATCCTTCTTCTGAGAAGTAGCAGGTAAATTTGAACCACATGACTTTGGGATTGCAGCTTCTTGCCATTAGGCCAACAGAGATCTTTAAGAGTTATAAGTCTTTAAGACTTTACAAATCATGGATTAGTAATATTTCTTACCTTGGAAAAGGACATCATGCTTGGAAAGATGGATGGTCTGCAAAGAAAAGGAAGACCCTCAACAAGATAGATTGACATAGTGACTTCAGCAATGAATTCTAACATATCAAAGATGATGAGGACGGCACAAGATAGGGCTGAGTTCAGGTTGTTATACTTAACAACATTTGACAATATTTAACAACAACAAAAACTGGAAAATGCTTACTTGATTGAATTATAGTTATTTAACTAATATGATCACAACACAATTATATAGTACTTATCTTCAGGGAATATAGATCATCTTATGATTTTATCCATCCTATTCTCATTAAACTTATGTATTTCATTGGACTTTGGTATTTCTTCAACATGGTGACTGATGGAGCACCTAGATCTCTTGGATTCTATATCTCTTGTGTGACCCTCACCTTGCTCTGACAAAATCTGAGAAAAGTGTTTAGAAGAGCTGGAGACTTCTGTCAAAGTGCTTTTTTTTTAAAAGATAATGTGTGTTTTTGTGTCAATTCTTAAGGAACAACTGAGTTTACTTAAAAATTATCAAACTCTTATACCTTTACTATGTCTTCTTGAGCCTTTTAATGAAAGCTTGGAGAGGACAAATTGGAGATTTACCAAAATTTTTTTTTATTATTTGAACACTGGAAAAATTACATGAAATGTTTAAAACTCCTTACTGGAATACCTTATGAAACTGTGTTCGTCTCTCCTCCCCCCCCCCCTTTAATTAGAAAGCATAAAATCAGGATCCTGGCACAGAGTCTATTCAAAGTATTTGGTAAAGTTTCTGGTTCAAATAATAAAAAAAATATTTTGGTAAATCTCCAATTTGTCCTCTCCAAGCTTTCATTAAAAGGCTCAAGAAGACATAGTAAAGGTATAAGAGTTTGATAATTTTTAAGTAAACTCAGTTGTTCCTTAAGAATTAACACAAAACCACACATTATCTTAAAAAAAAAAAGCACTTTGACACAAGTCTCAAGCTCTTCTAAACACTTTTCTCAAATTTTGTCAGAGCAATGGGAATCCCAGAATATTTAATTGTGCTAATGCGAAACCTGTACTTGGACCAAGAGGCAGTAGTCAGAACAGAGCAGGGTAACACTGCTTGGTTCAAAATTGGGAAGGGTGTATGCCAGGGATGTGTCCTGTCTCCATACCTTTTCAACCTGTACGCAGAGCAGATTATCCGAGAGGCGGGGTTCTATGAGGAGAGGCGTGGCGTTAGGATTGGTGGACGATCTATCAACAATCTGCATTATGCAGACGACACAACCTTGCTCGCTGAAACTGAGGAGGACCTCATGCACTTACTGCAGAGGGTCAAGGACTACATACAGCCTTCAATATGGACTGAGGCTCAATGTCTAGA